TTGTGGATGATGGTGAGTATCATTGTATCATATACTAGATATGAAAAAAATCTTCATTTATATAATACTCATTTATTTATTTATTCATTCTGTTCTTGTCTTTTATTGCCTGCTGGGTTCTGATTTTGCATGTGTTGTTAAAGAAAATTTAATACTTTTCATTTATTTGCAATTTTTATTCTTTTGCTCTGTCTTAGATCAACAGATTCAGTTTCCAAATTATGTCTCTTCCCAGTTTTGTTTTGTCTCTTAGTTTAATTTTATCCTTTTATCTATATTCCTTGGCAACTGTTAGCAGATCTTATAGAATAAGCTACAAAATCTATTCTGATCATAAACAATAGCAGATCTTGAATTAGTTTATCTGGGTAAATTGGGTAATATGATGGTTTTCACAAGTATTTCTTCTTGTTTTAGGTGCTCCTCTGTGACTGTGGTAAGTATCTTTGTGTTCATATATTTTATCCAGATCCATGTGGTTTTTCAATTTATCATCACAGTGCTTCTTCAATGGATAAACTAAATTATTAGATCCAAGATTTTCCTGTCTCTTATCATCAAGAACCGGCGATAGTCATACATTATCCTGATTGTTGGTATGTTGAACACCTTATGAATCTCCTAATCTTACTGTAAAAACAAGCTAAAAGACTTCATGTCTTTTCTCGACATGCATAGCTGAGGATGAAACTGGTTTAGAGAGTAAGAGCAGTGCATGGTTTCTAGATTTAGTTTGTTTGTTTTTGTTGTTTTCTAGTTCGATCTTTGTGTCCAAAAAGTTGCGGTTGTGTACTATGATTGTTGTTCATCACTGTGATCTTTAGGCTAATATTCATGTTTTCGATTTATGGTGTGATTTCAGGGGCAACTTCTTTCCTGTTTACCCAGTACAAGTACCTCAGCGTGTTCATGGGTGTATTCAGCATCGTCATCTTCCTCTTCCTGGGTTCCGTCAAGGGCTTCAGTACCAAAAGTGAACCTTGTACTTACAATACCGGGAACTTATGCAAACCAGCTCTGGCTAATGCTTTCTTCAGCACCATTGCTTTCTTGCTTGGTGCCGTTACTTCAACAGGCTCAGGTTTTCTTGGGATGAAGATTGCTACCTATGCAAATGCTAGAACTACTCTAGAAGCAAGGAAGGGTGTTGGGAAGGCCTTTATTACAGCTTTCCGCTCAGGTGCAGTGATGGGATTCCTCCTTGCTGCCAATGGCCTCTTCGTGTTGTACGTCTCGATCAATTTATTTAAACTCTACTACGGTAATGACTGGGAGGGACTCTATGAATCTATCACTGGTTATGGTCTTGGCGGTTCATCAATGGCACTCTTTGGCAGAGTTGGAGGAGGTATTTATACTAAAGCAGCTGATGTTGGTGCTGACCTTGTTGGAAAAGTTGAACGAAATATCCCTGAAGATGATCCAAGAAACCCAGCTGTAATTTTCTACAATTGACTTATACTCTATTTACAGTTCTATTTCACTCACTGGTTTTCAGCTTTATACTATTGACATCGGTTGCACCTAATATTATGGTACGTATGCAGGTTATTGCTGACAATGTGGGTGACAATGTAGGAGACATTGCTGGGATGGGTTCTGATCTGTTTGGCTCATATGCTGAGTCATCCTGTGCAGCACTCTTTGTTGCTTCAATATCATCCTTTGGTATCGGCCATGATTATACGGCCATGTCTTATCCCCTTATTGTTAGCTCAATGGGGATCGTTGTTTGCTTGATAACTACACTTTTTGCAACTGATCTGTTTGAGATTAAGGGTGTAAGCGAAATTGAACCAACATTGAAGCGACAACTTCTTATCTCGACTGTTCTGATGACTGCTGGAATTGCCGTGGTCAGCTTCTTTGCTTTGCCATCCGAATTCACTCTCTATAATTTTGGGACTGAGAAGACTGTAAAGAATTGGTATGCATCCTCGAATGTCCATTCAATTTCTTAAGGTTCCTTTTAGTTTTGCATGCTTTCAACTTGTTGATTAAATTATATGCAACTGCAGGTACCTTTTCTTCTGTGTTGCAATTGGCTTGTGGGCTGGTCTTGCTATTGGATATACCACAGAGTATTACACTAGTAATGCTTACAGGTGAGTGTACTCTTCATGGCTGTATTAATCAAGTAGACTGTTGCATTTACTATCCATATCGAAACCACAATTTGATGTTTGTTATCATTTCAAAATGGCAGTCCGGTGCAGGATGTGGCTGATTCTTGCAGGACTGGAGCTGCAACAAATGTGATTTTTGGTTTGGCTTTGGGATACAAATCTGTCATCATTCCCATATTCTCAATTGCAGTAGCGATTTATGTGAGCTTTAGCCTGGCTGCTATGTATGGCATTGCTGTCGCTGCTTTGGGAATGCTTAGTACCATTGCCACCGGTCTTGCAATTGATGCTTACGGCCCCATAAGTGACAATGCCGGTGGTATTGCAGAAATGGCTGGAATGAGCCACAAGATACGTGAAAGAACTGATGCCTTGGATGCTGCTGGGAACACCACAGCTGCAATTGGCAAGGTAAGACTTTCATTTTTCTGTTATTTTTCACTAATTTGATCCATAAACTATTAGTTTGAGATACTAACATGGTGCTTTACCACAACACTGTAAATGTGGATGTCCAAAATTCAGTTAATTACTATGATGTTGACATAATGCATTTTCTCTTCAGGGTTTTGCAATCGGATCGGCTGCTCTTGTTTCCCTTGCTTTGTTTGGTGCCTTCGTCAGCAGGGCAGGCATCAAAACAGTAGATGTTTTGACACCAAAGGTCTTCATTGGACTGCTTGTAGGAGCCATGCTTCCTTACTGGTTTTCAGCCATGACAATGAAGAGTGTGGGAAGTGCAGCTCTGAAGATGGTCGAAGAGGTTCGTAGGCAATTCAATACCATTCCCGGGCTTATGGAAGGCAGAGCAAAACCAGATTATGCAACTTGTGTCAAGATTTCTACTGACGCTTCACTCAGGGAAATGATCCCACCAGGTGCATTGGTTATGCTTACACCACTCATTGCCGGAACCCTTTTTGGAGTCGAAACTCTTGCCGGGGTTCTTGCTGGTTCACTTGTTTCTGGCGTTCAGGTATGCAATTAAAATCCAATGCCTTGCTTTAGATGCTGATCATTTCTTGTTTTCTTCATAGTTGTACTTTGATTCAATTTAACCCAAAAGTTCTCAGGATAATCCACTTATCATCAAAGAGTGTTCTACATTTATTGCTCTAGATGAATTTCTGATTTCATTTTCTTTCCTTTTGATCCCAGGTTGCCATATCAGCTTCTAACACAGGAGGGGCATGGGACAACGCAAAGAAATACATAGAGGTAAAATTCTAATACATTACACATATAGAAGCCTGATATCTTATAGCGTTTCAGGTTGCCAGAATTGAAGTCTGATTCTTATGTACCACTTTGATGTTATTTTTCTCAGGCTGGTGGTTCGGAACATGCCAAATCATTGGGTCCAAAAGGATCAGATGCTCACAAGGCAGCAGTCATTGGTGACACAGTTGGAGATCCCCTCAAGGACACTTCTGGTCCATCGCTAAACATCCTCATTAAGCTCATGGCAGTGGAGTCTCTGGTGTTTGCTCCATTCTTTGCTGCTCATGGTGGCTTGTTGTTCAAATTGCTGTAACTTCAAACCCACCCTTCACCTAATGCTGAGTCCAATTCGGTATATATTTCCAGTAGCAGCAATGTAAAGATGAAACATGATCGATCGTTTTGCTACTGTTGCCAATTTTACTTTCGAATGAATAAGCTAATGCATATAAATTTGTAGATTCTTATAATGCGTACTTAAATATCCTGTTTTATGAATGTGTCTTGTTTTGCTCATAGAGTTTGAAATTCTTTACAATAATTTGAAGAGTAAATGACTTTTTTCCACCCAAATAACTGTTTAATGACACTTTCCCATTCACAGATTTTTAAAATACAATTTTATTACCCAAATTTATATTTTGTTTCTCATTCCGGTATCGTTGTTCTCTCACACCACTACTATTCTCTTCTCCGATCATCACTCATCAAAACACCTCAAACCCTACTCTTGTCATCCCCACCAATCGTCGGCAATCGATCGATTAAGGTTAGCACAGTCATCTCTTCCAAGTCAAATTTCGATCAATTCTAACCACCAAAATCAACATTTCACTACCAAAAGACTCATCGGTCTCCTCTCTTCGAAAACCCTAACAACTTATAACAAGTTTACTCTTTGTTCATCGTCAGAATATAAGTTTAAATAGTAAAATAGTATTTTAAAAGTTTTTAGGTGGAAAAGTGTCGTTAAACTATTATTTTGGATGGAAAAAAGTCATTAACTCTAATTTGAAGCTTCACATGAGTAGTGATTGGTGCCAATACTGCTTCTCTATCTGGTTAGATAATCCAATCGCCCTTTTTGGTTCTCATTTGTTCAAAGAGCTGAAGCTTCATGTCAAGAAGCTCAGCATTCATCCTCCATACCCTAATCCTTCGACAAATCGAAGGGCTTGAGGACCGAGACAGGAATTTCTTCTTCTTCATATAACACCTCAATTGAGCAGACAGTTTTGCATAGTGAATGGGCAGAAAGAGCAATTGATGACAATTTTGCCTTCTTTCTATTGTCATCAAATTAATTTTCTCACTCTTATTATTGTTATGAATAACTAAATTAGAGTATGATTTTAACTTTTAAGAACCCAAAATCTCCATCCAACTTTGCAATCACTTCAGAAAAAGAAATTGCTTAGGTAAAAACAGTGCAGAGGAAAAATCAAAAAGTAGTGGTTATCAGTTATTAGGTAATGGGTGCCACCACTCCTGTTCAACTTTTGACACTCTTTCACATTTCACATGCTAAATATGTTGTGGATCTCAATCAATCACCATCACAATATTCAACCGTCCATTTTTTAGGTGACTTTAACCCGTTTCCATTTTAGTTATTTTTATTTGTTTTGAGTAAAAAAATTGAAGAAAAAGTAATCAAACGGGAACCAACAAGCAATTGGGCATGCAAATATAATATTGGCTCTCCGATTGTTCACACTAGTTGATAAAATTTGATCATAAAGAAGGCAAATATCCTCTTTGTCCTGAAAAAAGACTCAGTTAAAATGATATTAAAGCTATCAGGCCCTTTTTCTAAGATTAATAAGAACAAATAAAAAACTCCCTACGGCTGAAAATTAAAAAGGAGAAAAAGTTCGGGAGCTACTTCATGCCCAAGCTTATCTCGAAACTTCTTTTTATCAGAATAACTAGTTGTAGTACTCTCTCTCGCTTACAGCTCATCCTGTAACAAAAGACAAATAGCAAAAAGCTCGTTAATCGATGCACGGATACATGTTAAAAGGTTGTTCAAAAGAATTAATAGAGTTAGAATGCCTACATGTAAATCCTCATCCTTCTTGTCTGATTCGGATTTCTTTTCAGAGTCGGAATCAACATCTTCATCATCACCCTCGTCTTCATCCTCAACCTGATACAAGAAGGTTAAGAAAAATTAGGACCGGAACAAACATTAGTATGTAAAAAGCATCAGATAAGAATTTATAGGAGGCTTACATCGGAATCAGGTGAATCCTTTGATTCCTGAACAAACCATAATTTGGCAAGTTAGAAAACAGATGCAACAAAAAAGAGTAGAATAAAATTAAACCAAATATCAAAGGAGAAAGGTACCTCCTCCTCTTTCTTCTTCTCAGCCTGTTCAAAAGCTGCCTTCTCAGCCTGCATAATTAATAGGTCTTAGATCAATAACTGGGGAAAAAAATCTATTACAGAAGTTCGCGACTTTTTTAATGGGAAATAGCAACATACATCCTTATGCTTTCCCCATGTTTCTTCGGCCAGCTGCTTGGCATACTCAGGGTCGTCACAAACCAAAACATTGTCAAACATGGTTCCAGATTTCACCTGACACATTATGCATCAACTTGTCAAAAATTGATATGCATATGATAACAATAATAGAACAGTCTATGAGAAGATGGTGGATAAAATTACCTGCCACAACTCGATGCCAACATACTTCAACTTGGGGTACACGTAAATGTCTGGGTCATCCTTGAACTCTACAGAAGATTCAAAACCATAAGCAGAATTACTAACTATCCTCTCAGTCATTACAATTGATACAAAGCCGTGAAACAATTTGAAAGAAAAAAACCTGGGTTGTCAATCATTGGTGCCTTCCACTTTCCCTTGTAGTTGGGGTTCTTGATTTTCTGAGAAAGACAAAGCAAGATCAGGACAAAAAAATAATTACCAATGAATTTTGATTGCCTCAATCAATCTAGAAGTTCACTAACCTTTGGCTTCCATTCGCCCTTGTACTCAGGGTTTGCAATGGTTGGGGCTGTCCATTCACCATCTTCCTCATCATCCCAATCCTCAGGCTACATTGCAATTTCTTAATCAGTTCCATTCTTAAGAAAGCAAAAGGGACAACATTTTGAAAGCAATAGAAATTTAAATGACTACCTTCTTGGCATCGGGATCTGGGATCTCCTTTGGAATGTCATCATAACCCTAGTATATTACAAATAAAACATATGGTAAGATTATTCATAATACGATCATACAAAATTAGGCCACTTAGCATAAGGTTAACAACAGGGGATTGTTACCTCTGGCTTCTTGTCTTCGGGATCGGGAATATATTCTTTGTCATCCCAATCTTCAGGCTGGCATCAATCAGACAAAGAAGTCAGGTTTATAAACTCTACCATCAAGAAAGCCAATAGAGTATTCTAGAAAGAAATTGTAAGATTGGTCAAAATAAGTAATTACTTTCTTGGCCTCTGGATCCTTGATCTTCTTTGGAGGGAGAAGATCCCAATCAGAGTACAAGCTACCGGTTTGTTTCTCCACATTATCAATAAGGATGCTGTAGGTAGCATCTGGACGGAGGATGAATGTATAAACATGAGTAAGTTGATCAGTTTCGCATGGAACTTCCTTCTTGATCAAGTGGTTTGTATCATTGTAGTTAAGAATGGCGTGCACTTTCTTGGTGCTGTAGCCACAAATATCTGGTCCAAACATGATACTGCAATCAACAATACGATACAAAATCAGCACAAATAATACATACAAAAAAACAAGCTTAAGCCCAAAATGTGTAATGCGAACCTGTAAGAGGTATCACCACCGAATTTCTTCTGATCAACATCTCCACTAAGCAACTTCATGTAGCCACCACCACAATCAAGTTTCTGTTCATGCTTGACAGAAAATTGGAAGACAAGTGTCTTGTCCTTGTTGCTGAATTCAGGGAACTCAGCTGAAATAGCATAGAATCTGTAGTCTTCACTTGTTTGGATACCTGTCATAAAACAGTGTGCCAAACATTAACACAACTCAACTCTACCAAACTAAATCAGCTCAAATTATTACACATTCTCAGTTAAAAGAGAGTTACCTTTGTCATTGGGATCACCGTGCCATTGCCCAGCCGTGAAGTTCCACTCTCCAGCCACGTTCTCGTCTTTCTTCCAATCTGATTTAACCCAACGACTCTCCCATCCATCTTCAACATAAGATAACCAAATTATTCACATTACACTGATCTATCCAACAACAACAAATGCATACCAATCCTCAAAGATATAACAATTTGCATGTCATTTCAAAATTAATTAACGGTTATTCTATCATGTATATAAATTCTCTTAACATATAATAAAATTTCAAGTTCATGATTAACAGTTCTTAAAATGAATGTAACGTGGCAAGGTTATATTAGGCGGACGCGAGGACAATATCATCGATCACATGTAGGTCACTGTTTAAAACTATGCAAACGATCGTACATTCTCATTTCAACTTCAAATGACCTCAATAAAATCATTCATTAATCACAGATCTAATAAGAAAAACTGCATTACTACTCCTAATTGAACTATTAAACGACGAAACATTTTATAACATGAACCGATCTAGAGTTTTAGATCAAATTGAAACGAAACAGGTCGTTTAAAGCCTAGAGTGAGAGAGGTACCGTCGAAGCGCTCTTCAAAGAAGACGTGAGCGGAGGCGATCGCGACGGAGAGAGAGAGGAGAAGAGTAAGAGATAGAAAATTAGGGTTTACCCTCGCCATATTTAGAGAGAGATTGAGCTCTGTAGAGTGAAGTGTGAAAGGGAGAACTGGTCATATATAGACGTCGTTCGTAAACGGACGTAACGGTGTGGTGGACACCAGACGTGAAGGAGTTTGATGATGTGGACAAATAGCAAAAGAACACTTGGAAAATGGGTGTCATTTGTATCACGTGGCAGAGACGGATTGGCAGCTACACGAAATGTAGAGCGTACAACAGTCCAACAGGTGGCAAAAGCCGATTGGTGGGTGAGAGAAGAGAGACAGTTAGTTGTGCACAGTAAATAATTTTCCAATTTAAGAATAATATATTTAATTTATTTATAAATTCGTTTAGGTGAGTTGGTTTATGGATTATCTGGAAGCATCCATTCCACTAGGAGGTAGGAGATTGTTATTTAAATTATAAAAAATAAACTAAATAAAGATTAGATAAGATTAAAGATCTTATCACAATTTGAAAAAAAGGGATTAATAATTTAAGTTTTATGATTCGAAAATAATTTTCAAAAATTAAAATATGAATCAAAATTTTTCGTTTTCTGATTTTACACTAATTATTAGGATCTGAAAACTGTTTTCGAAAACATGTCAACTCATTTCTACCAAATCCACTTTTATAAAAAAATTTGTATCCCTAATTTCCGAAAACAAAAAATTGTATTTAAATTGAATATCAAACTAGCACATCGCGTTTATCATTGTTTTATGTTTCTCTGAGATTATAGAGTTTAGCGGAGATTTCAAATTTCGAAATGGGGAGAGCACAATAAATTTTGGGTTTTTTAAATTTTTTTAAATTATATAAAAGAAAAAGAAAGAAACAGGGTGTAATGGAGATACTTATAAGCTGATCAAACTAGCTTATAAGCTCTAAAATTAAGTTAACGGTTTGTTTATAACTTTTTTGAACTTATAAGCCAAAAAATAAGTTAGAAGGGAGGTATTTTTTTTTTTTTTTTTTTGCTTATAGGCACTCTGCTTATAAGCTAGTTGACCAAATATATACACACATATCCTTGTTTAATTTTAAAATTCCATAGTATACGCTTATTTAATATAGTACCATTTTTAGTCATTTTATATAAAATGTATTTAATAGCCACATTTTACCAAACACGTCAACTACTTACAGTCACTTATAAGTATTTTAGCCAAAAATTCAAATGTTTAAGCTAAAATTATCTTATAAACACTTGTTGCTTATAAGCTAATTTTATAAGCTCAAACAAACACCCTCTAGTATCCGCTATTTAATTGAAAGGTGTAGTGAAAGTTATTACAATAATTTTTCCTGATGATTAATCAAGGTGCACATAATTAGTCTGAACACCTTAGTTATAACCAAAAAAAAAAAAAAAAGGTAATAAAAACTAATGGGTTATGGGGCCATGATGATTCATATTAAGAAGTAATGTGTCACACAAGTAAAATAATTGAAAGCATTCAAATGTAATTGCCTAAATGGAGAAAAATAGGTAGAATAATAAGTAAATGGTAGCAATAGAATAATTCTTAGAATATAAAAAAAGATACTACTAAGGTCCACCACATATGATAAAATTTGGTAGGCCATGCAAACGTGGGCCGGCACTCATGTTTTAATTTTTTTTTTTCTGAATGCTTAAAGTGGAAGCCACTAAAACCTTATTTTAATTAATTAAACTATAGGCATAAGAATTACCTCTAATTTTGTCTTTGCTTTTTACTTCAAATAGCATTGAGATGATCGCTAATGAAAACTATCATCGACTTTGTCAACCAAGTTTAAGGAAATTATGGGATTTTATAATGGCGTCGATAGAAGTTGTATATATCTCACATTACCGATTTGATTGGTTGTTGTAGTGTATATATATAAAGTAAACGACTTTTTCCCACCCAAGGTTTGCCTTAATGACACTTTCCCACCCAAAGTTTATATTCTGTTAATACCCAAAATACACTTCACTTTCTCAGCCAGGGTAAGAGGGGTTTTGTAAAGTAGAGGCCGATGATCGAATGGTGGTGACCGATTGAATATTCGCTGTTGGAATCAGTAAAAAATGAGCTAAGAATAGGAAACTATAGCTTTGCGGTGGTATACAATCGACAAGAAATTAGGTGTCGAAGTGAGAGAGATTTTGTATGGAGGAGACCGAAGGTTCAAATGATAGTGACGAAGAGAATTTTTGCTGACGGAATCGGCTTTGGATAGTAATGAAATATTAACTTTGGGTGGAAAAGTGGTATTTTGAAACTTTTTGGATGGAAATTGTCATGAAGGTAAACCTTGGGTGGTTTATATAGAGGATCCCCTCCTCTTAAGGCTAGCTTTTGAGAGTAATTTCTATCCAATCCCACTTTATGAGGGATTAACAAAGAGATACATAGAATTAGATTTATAAGAAAAACTAATATAAATTAAGATTCACTTTTATAAATGACATAACCATTCCTTCAACCTCGTTCTCTCTCTATACATGTAACCAAATCTCGAATAATAAAAACTACACTTAAAATTTATTAAATTCAGAGAATTCAGAATTACAGGGTATATGTACATACTCAAACACAAGCTTGCTGTTTGGAAATGTTTTTCCATTTCTCATCAATAGAGTGAATGACATCTAACAACTCCTCTACTTGCAATGGTTTAGTTAAATGAAAATCCATTCCAGCATTGGCAATCTTGCTTTCCTCCTCAGCCACTGCATGTGCTGTCAATGCTATTATTGGAGTATGAACATTGTATTCTTCTTCCTCCTTTCTTATCAGTCTTGTTGCTTCAAATCCATCCATTACTGGCATCTGTCAAGAACCAGAAACAAAAATTTACATACTGTTGTTTTATAATAGTATGCAGATAAACATTTATTTAAGATAAAAAGTTTGCATATGAGTACCTCACAGTCCATAATGATATAATCATAAGGAAGAGTCTTGGAATGTCCTTCCTTTCTTGCATCACTCAGATTTTTGCAAACTTGATCAAATGCCTCTTTCCCATTTGTGCATACTTCAACATTTGCTCCAAGTTTACTGATTCTGGTAGTCGTCAACTTGATCATTGCTGCAGCATCCTCAACTATCAGAATTTTCTTCCCATTCAGGGGCTTCTCATTGCTTTTTCCATCACTATGCAAAACTGTCTGCTCAATGGAGGGGTAATGTGAAGGAGAAGAAGAAGTTCCTGTCTCGGTTCTCAAGCCCTTCGATTTGTTTGAAGGATTGGGGTCTGGGGAATACTGAATTTCTTGAGATGTTGATGTCATCTTTAACTTTCGGAAGCTGCGCTGGGAATGGGATGTACTCTTGCATTCAGGTAGAAGCTTCAGCACTTCGATCAAACGCGAACCATGAAATGGCTTGTTTATAACATGATCACATGGAGGAATAAGCTGGTACTCTTGGTGTTCTCTTAAATGAGAATTCCGCATGATTGGATTATGTAACCAGACAAACTTGCATGAAAAGCTAGGAATTTCTTTTGTGAAGTTGGATAAAGTTTTGAACAATTCAGATAAAGAACCAGCACTGGCATCAATCACTACCAGTGTAAAGCTCGAGCAATTTTTCGAGTTTGTCCTTCTGTGGTATGGCAAAACATTGTCACTTCCCTCTTGTATAATGCCCTGAGCCCCATCACTTGGTCCTGTATCAGAGTTACTGGATGCAGAGATGGTCAAGATATCAACTACATTTGACTCAGGTTTTCCTGAACAAGAAGGATCCATCTTGCGCTTTATCTTCTTGAGCTCCTGGTGAAGCATTTTTTCTTGCCTTACAATTGTCACTCTGATGTTTAAGTTGTTCTCAATGTACCTCTTCAAGACTCGTCTTCGTTCCTCACCGGTTATAAAGAGTATGATGTGAGATCCATCTAGTTTAGGTGCAGGGTTCCAAAATGCTGCAAGATGTTGATGAAATCCAGATTGAGGCCAATCATTGTGTGCTCTGAGATGTTCTTCATTAGTGTCAATTGACTCTTGCTCGCATAGAGTAAGGAGAATGTTAAACTTGAAGCAAGTGCCTCTTTCACCATGCTCTTTCTCAACAATTGTTATTTCTCCTTTCATCAGATGTACCTAGAGCACAATTTCAGCAATGAAAAAAAGTGCAACAATATTAGTTCATTATGTTTCCAATCAGCTGAACAAAACAGTATCTGAGTTACTTACCATCGATTGAACGATACCAAGTCCTAAACCGATGCCTTCATGGCCAAGAGCAGTTTCCTTGACTTGAACGAATTCTTCAAAGACAGAATTTTGCTTGTCTTTGGGAATTCCCTTGCCTGTATCATCCACCTCAAATTCAAACACCATTAAATTGGGATTTTCTTCAACTGAATGAAGCGCATTTAGGTCATTGAAACCTTCCTTGTTCTTGAAAAACATCTTTGATAGACACTGCAAGACAATGTTATGATTTGAAGCGATAATATCTTGTTTGAAACTCTTTTTCTTAACCATTGCACGTACAGAGACATGACCTTCTGATGTAAACTTAATGGCATTGCTAAGTAAGTTGCATAAGATCTGTTTCAGTTTTACGCGATCACCTTTTACAAGGCATAATCCAAGAACAGAGCCATCGCACGGATCAAGCACAATATCTATACCTTTCTTTATACCAACATGATAGTACAAATCAACTACTTCCTCCAGGAGTTGAGCCAAGTTGAATTCTTCTTCTTTCAGTTCCAGTTTTCCAGCTTCCATTTTACTCATCTCCAGGACTGAATTCAATATGCCTTAACCATTCCATAGAAAGAAGAAAGTTTGGTAAGTAAAAACACCATAAAATGTGAAGAGGAACACAAAGGTGAGAAAAAACTGACCCAGTAGGTCCTTTGTACAAGTTTTTATCAGTCCCAAATTTTCTGCCAACTCAGTCTGAGGATTGGCATCTTCATGACAAAGCTCCACCAAGCCAGTAATAGCAGCTAATGAAGCGCGGACATCATGGCTTGCTTTAGCAAGGGCAAAAGTCTTGTTCATACTCTTGCGTTCGGCTTGTTGAGTAGCATTCATTTGCTTTAT